ACCCCTACCATTCTGTGATTCTGTGATTCCCCTCGGCACTGGTAAGCAGCCTCTTCAGTGGCCAAACCCAGAGTACTATGTCTGGTTCTAGGCTCCTTAGTACAAGAGGAGGGAGGGTTCAAAGAAGGTGGAGCTGGGCTCTCTTCAGTGGTGCCTATTAACAGGACCAGAGGCAATGGGCACAAACTGTAACACAGGAGGAGGTTCCGTCTGAATATCAGAAAACACTTTTTTTTTTTTTTTCCTGTGAGGGTGACTGAGCACTGGCACAGGTCGCCCAGATGTGTTGTAGAGTCTCAGTCCTTGGAGATATTAACGAGCCATCTGGACATGGTCCTGGGCAACTGGTTCTAGGTGGCCCTGCTTGAGCAGGAGGGTTGGACAAGATGATTTCCAGAGGTCCTTCCATTTCTTTTTATTTTCCATTATTTCAGTCTTCAAGTCTCCATACCAATGACCTTAGAACTCTTCTGTCTCATTTCTTTAGGAATAAGACACTATTTAGCAAACAGATCATCTCTTGAAACACAAACTGGAATACAGACTCTATAAAATGTGAAAAATATCTAAATCCAGTGAAGACTGTATTTACTAACTCATTTCTTTTGGGATATACATGCATGCATCTTATAAACAAATGGAATGACACATTCTCTACACGTTTCTTTGTTCTGTAAACAACAGTTATTTGAAATTACAGCACACTAATATATATTCTCAGACAATCTAAGTATCACTGACATGGTATGACTCTAAAAGTCTACTTGTCAAGTGGAATTAGATTAATTAAAAATTAATAATCTCTATTCTAAAGTATGCACATAGCCAATTAGCTTGCCCATAAATCCCCATGAAAAAGCAGCCTTTGACACAGTTAATAGTAGCCACAACAACCCACAGCATGAGTTACATATCAAAACAGTATTGTAAAGTAAGTGAAAACCAGTTTTCTGCATATTGTTTAAGCAAAGCAAAAGATGTTTGCTTCCTATCATACAAACACAGCATCTGAGGCAGCTCTTTCCTTTCATAAGCCATCACAAAGTGCAAAACAAAGTAAAAAGAGAGCATTTGTTTGGATGTGGCTGGTTAAAATAATTGCCATGATGTATAACAGGAAATAAAAATTGAACACTTAAAATATTTAAAATATTTTATCCAGCTATTTTTAAACAAAATTCCCAGGTGAAAACTACTAACAATTCTGAAATGATCAAGGGAAAATAATCCTGGAGGAAATTATAATTTCCATTGAATAAAAACATAAAACTTAAGTTCATAAATTTACAAGTAACATGACCCAAATATCCTTAGGTCAGCTTTCACTACCTTCATAAACTTGAAGGAAATCTGCTTGTATAAAACACAGAAAGGATTATACCAACAGTGATCTCAGTACACCCATTCTTAAATTTCTTATTTGATAGCTACACAAATGGTCTTTTCTCCTAAGTAGGTTTAAACCCCATGTTCCATTTATATCTTTTTCAGCCTCCCAAAACACAGAGGAAACAAGACTATTCCTAAACCCTGTAGCACCATTTTTTCATACTCTTCAGCGTTCTTTGTCAAACCTTGTTCTATCTAAATAGTCTACAAAGTTATTGAAAAAGATGGCTATTTCTGACAGCTGCCACACTGCAATAGAGAATGGTTCTCCTCCTATCTTGCAAACAGTGCAGCTACTAGACGTGACCTGGTTCTTTTGACAATTTTGTGGGCACCTCTGTTTGCCTAGCCTTTTTTCATATAACTGTGCTATTAAATTCCTAAGGTCCATGACCCACCCAGAACCCTCTTCATCCTCTGCCATTAATGGTTTTACCATTCCACTGTGAAATGCTAATGGAGCATATTATGTCCTGTCAAAGGTGTCCAATGCTACAAAGATGGGTGCTTTATGAACATATATATAATATTGGTATGATCAAAAAACATGACTGATTTAAATAAAGTTTAGGAAGCAGCCTGTGCCTGCAGTTTTGTATGCCAATTGATATTTAATATTATGGTTGATTGATAAACTGTGAAAGAATGGATTTTAAATTCTAATATCAAAGATAATACTTTAATTAGAGTCCCACAAATTAAAGTGTACACAAGTTAAACAGAGGAAACTTAACATTTAAAACCACTTCAAAGAAGTGGGCAATAGTCCATATCACAATGCCAGCAGGTGAAAGGCTTTCACCCTGAAGCAAATGCATCTTCTGCGCAACAGGATTATCTCTTGTGTGTCTGATGGGTGTGGAACTTTAACTTGTGCTCTCCACCCAGCCACCCCTACCTGGGGCTAGAGAGTGTGCTGCTGCCATGCAGTCAGGGTGGCATAAAATTGACATGCACAGCACCTATACATTAAGCAAGAGAGCTGCAGTTTCATCCTTAATTCATATTGCCTAAAGCTAGAAGTCTGATTCAATCATACTGCTAATTAAAGGCCAGTACGTCACGAGTTCCAAAAGTCCCAAAATTTTCTTAACTACCATTTCTCCACAAAGATGCAAAAATCTAAGGAACCGCAAATGTTCTCAAGTCTAAAGTGAAAACTATTAAATGATCTGATACATCCTATGAATCGGAGTTAAACGACCAAACAAAATGGTCAGCATATTAAATGACAGCGTCATTTGGGAACCTGAAAAGAAGTTTGCAACCTATAAACAAGACAAGACTTTTTTGTATCTCCATTTTGAAATTTAAACATGAGAAAATTATCCTGCTCTTGTTTAGATTAATACATACAAAAGTACTTCTACTTAATTCAGTTCAGTAAGACCTGTACAAAAATCTGTGTACAAGAAGAGACACTAAGCTGGGAAATTTGAAGTTTTAGACTGAGGAAAAATGTCTGAGAGGCCACCGTTGAAGACCAGAAACTGAAACCAGTATGTATTCTGTGTCTTTTACCTTTTGAACAGACCAATCTGACTATTCAGTGCCCTGCTTACAATTACTTGGGGGAATAAGGATGGGTTTATTATCTCTGTTTCATTTATTATCAGAAACCCTGCTATTGCAAAAGAAAAACGCATCTAAAGTTTTTCATCCTTTCTATCAAAGACAGATGATCACCATAATGTTCACTATACAGGCAGAAACCTCAGCACCAGGGGACCTGCCCCTGTGAAAATCACAGTTTAGGTTGCAGGATCACTCCAAGGGTAAAGTCAGGTAAATTGCTCTTACATAGTGGTTTCACACTATAATTTTATTCACAGGTGAAAACGTCTAAACTGAACTTTGGCATGTATACACAGCTATAGGGAGATGCTATTATTCAGCTTATTATATTCTCTATATATTATATAGACTCTTCCATTCTCAACAGTAGAACTGTTCTTGTGAAATTTCATATCTATGCACTGAAAAGAAACATTAAGAAACAGATCTTGACTAACCTGCTTGTTTTCATTCTGATGAGCCTGAAGGAAGAGCTGCGTAAACACCTGTATTATAGTCATAACTTCTGGAGTTCCATCAGTTTCCAGCAGTGCATTCCTAAGCATTGAAAAGTTAGATTATGAAAGATCAGATAATTAGTCTGCCTGTCACACCACTGTTAATTGATATGAAGGAAAAAAAAAAAAAAGGTACATTCTTTGTATGCTGTAGATTCAAGCAGTGTCTGAGTTCATTATGCCAGTGAGAAAACTGATAGAAATACTAACTTTGGAGGCTTTTTAAATTTTAATTTTACTTAAAAAAAACCCCAAACATCTGCAACTCCTACAAATAAACTAGATCTAGTAAGTATACACAATATACATGCAGACACACATAATTTACCCTACCAATAGGGGAAAAAAGTGTAAAATTTAAAAAGAGACTGCCATAACTTTATTAGGCAAATCTGGCATCTGAACAGTTTTACTGGGTTCAGAGCAACTATTTCCATGCCTAGAGTTACGCATACTTTAGTGCTTTGTGGGACTGCATCCCATAGGCCATCTCAAGTTAGAAAGAAAGTACAATCTAGTACAATCTCCTGGGATATGGTAGCTGGAAAAAGGAAAAAAAAAAAAAAAAAGAAAGAAGAAAAAAGGTCTTTACTTAAACTGATGAATGTAACACTCCTAATGGAGCCAGGGGAACAAAAAGCAAAAGTTGCTGATCAAGTTTAAAAGTTACTTATTAAAAAAACTACACAAGGAGACTGAACTTAAATAATACAGCTGCTGTTCAGTCATTGTGACTCCTTAGTGATCGTTAAGTAATGAATCAGAAGCACAAATAGAAATGAGTATATACCAACGGTGTACTTTAGACCAGTAATTGCTACAGATTTAATTAGGGACCAATGCATTCCAAAGTGTTTTCGATAGTGAAATCATAAAATCCACTCTAGAGGTTCAGGAGGGTGAATTGTTTAACTGGTTTTCCATAGGGCATAATACAACCTTGAGCAAATGGAGCAGAAAAACATGTGGGCAGCAGAGTAATTTTCATTCTCTTATTTGAAAGATATGTAATAGTGAGGAGAAAAAAATGTTCAGAGTAAGCTGCCATTGAGATATGTTTTTTTTAATAGAGAATTTTTTCATTCTTTCTGTAATGATCTAAAAGATACGAACAGCTAACACATTACTGTTAACGGAGAAATTTCACAAAACTACAGCCAAATATAATCACAAGTATAATAGTAAGAAATAGTACACAGGAACTCAAGACAGCCTAGGTGTATGGACTTCCGTATAGCCACACATGGCAACTAAATAAGCTTCTACTTGGGAAATAAAAACACAAGTTAATATCCTGGAGATAAAACAATTTATCACAATCAACCTCAATAAAAAGCACACAAATAACAGGAAAAGTTATTCCTAAAAGAGACACAATGCTTAGATCTATGCTTCTATCAGATTAACCCCTAAAATAAAAGGATTTTTCTGCCAGGTGTAGAAACATAACACAGTTCCCAAGCAATGAAATGTAAGTTCTCTAAATTCTCACGTGTCTAATTTGGGAACAGTATCTTCACATCTTCATGCCACTTGATAATAGTTGGAAGCATGTCAGAGAAATAGCACAAAAATGAACACAAAGCTGCAGAAACCAACTGGTCTGCAAAAGCCAGCTAACAGTACAGTTTCACTTAGTACCAAGAGGAAATATAGTCTTTTAAAGATATATTAAAGGCTTAATACCAACAATGTAGAGGAACAAACATTCTAAGTAGACATAACGGAAAGCAAACAAGGGAGCATAAATGTAGGCTAAGCAACAGGAAAACATGATGAATTTATTTTTATTGGGAAATACTCTGCTGGACAAACTCCTGCATTATCTGAGAAACCGCATCTCATCCATTTCTACTGTCTACCAAATGGAAAGGGTGCAAAAGAGTTACGTACTCTCATGTTATTTTAAGAAAATATTTTATATACCATGATCCTAAGTAAACCAAGAAGCTTTAAGAAACGTTGTCGCCCTATACCATCATGATATACAGCCTCCAGCCTAAAACATGAGTACAGGTCTGTTGAAGTCACATTAATTTTCAAGTGCATTTTGCTTTGGGAAAGTGACTGACAGTTCTCAACTATTCAGAAAATGCTGTCTGTGCTCAGACACTGACCCACAGCAACAGCAAGGACTGCCACAGCAATAGCTGTGTAGTGGTTCCACTCATAAAGTGCAGCAGTCTACAGCTTCTACAGCAAAGACTCTTCTGCTAGTGCCTGCACAAACCTAAACATGCACACAGACACACAAATGGCCCCAAACACGCGCACCTGGGAGCCCTTTTTTCTTAAAAAGGAAAACACTTGATGAACAAAGAATGTTGGTCACTGATTACGCTATTGTATTGAAACTGTAATACTGATAACCCTGGCAGTAGATCTACTTTAAAAAAATGATAAAATAGTAAGGCAAGTGAAATGAAAAAGCTGCTGAAAACTGAGTAAAAAGGATCGGAAGCCCCCCTGTGGAAAACAGTATCTATTGCTTCAGAATAATTGTGCATTCAAAGCCAAACTCAACAGGCAAATCAATAGTTTAATGATACTAAGAGCATATCTTGATACCAATTCTCAAGGCTATTAGCATACTGTAAAAGAGGATACAGTGGTAAGTGCAAATGCTTCAGCTAAATTCCATCTTCATGCTGGCATGGGCCAAACCATTTCAGCATTTATAATTTTCACCTCAAAAATCATACTTCAACCACAAACCTCTACTGAAGTAAAAAATAAATTATAATTTTTCAAGGCTAAAATACAATGTAGTCAACTATATAAATGATTGTTATAATGTAACTTTAATGAAAAGTTCAAAAGGTTTTAACATTTTTCATTATTTGCAGTATATTACACAGAAGGGGACACTAAAGAATACAGCTAAAGAAAAAGACACTCTGAAATTACAATACATCCCAGATTATTATACTGCTTCTTCTCATGGAAAAAACTTCAATGTATAAACTCATCATTTGAAACGCTTCCCACTATAATTTCAAAACTTACTTGAAAATTTCATTAACAATTCTGAAAACAGCAGGATGGCTTGCTGCTTGTGGCTGTTGATAAACAAATGGAAGAAAATCAGTCATTAATAAGAAACAACCCAAACAACTGCCACTGTATAATTTACATCTTAACTCATGGATGCTATTACACTGTAATTATTAAATTGTAAATCTCAGATCAACTGTTACTAACTCCTCAGGTTTTCTCAGGATTAGGTTCTTCAAAATAGCGACACCAAAGTCACGGAAGGAGATCTGCAGCAATGCAAACATCTGGGATCCCAAGCTGTTTATGGCAACGATCACTAAAAATACTAAAGGTGGCAGACAGAAAGAACAGGTTGCTGCATGCAATTGCTAGAGGCAAGAGAGAGGGAGCAAATTTACAAAAAGCTTTTCTCTCCTCTTCACAGACAATCCCTTTTGGATGCGCTTTGAGATTCTTGCTACATCTTCAAAATTAAATTACTGAAATTTATTTTATCAACTTTTTCTTTAATACTACCACACACATACCAAAACATTTTTTCACAGTATTATTCTCTTCTGTGAATTTCAGAGTTGCTGGTACAAACTAAATATCTCAGAGCATCAAAATGTTTGGGTTTTTTAAACTAGTGCAGTTTTTTATCATGCTACCACATAAAACAGTGTTTTGAGAAAAAGTTGTTATATTAAACATACATTAGTAAACACACTACTTTCTAATCCCATATTCTTAAATTCCAAGATTTATTAGGCTTTTATAGTGAACCAGGAATAAATAACGAATTACATATTTCACAAATGCATATTTGTCTAAGTTAAAGAACAAACACACACTTTGTGTTTCTGAAGTTAGCACCTAAAGATTTGATGAGACTATATTTCTTGAACGCTCTAGTGTAATGCATGTTTAATAAAATCCCTTCTATAAACTTCACAATGCATGGAAGGAATAGCATTTATAAATGGCATTTACTGTAACAGCTTTAAGTGCCTGATGTGCAATTCCAAAGAGAATTTTTATCCACTTGCTTAAACGTACCAAGTAGAATAGATTTTTTTTTCTTTTTAATTGCACACAGGCAGAATACGGACTTTATATGATCCCTACATGATAATCTCTGAAAACAGAGAGACAACCTGTAATACAAACTGCCTAGAAAAGCTCTTTGTTTCTCCCAGTTGTCTTTGCCATACTGGAAATACTAGGTGGCACCTCATTCTCCCGTTTTACCACACTTTTTCTTTGTCACATGGCTGTAGGTAGGTTCCCCTATGGAAGGTGTGCCATCTAGTGTTTCAGAGCTTTCACGGCCGGTTGTGTGGACCTGTGAAGAACAGCATGTACCTTGCTGCAAGGCTGGTCTCCAAACTCCCACTGCTAAGAGGGAGAAAAAAACCTGTCTGGATGAGACAAAAAGGAGACACCTTCGTCTCTCTTTTTTAAAAGGAAAACTTTCTCTTTTTTAAAAGAAAAAAAGGCAGCAATCTACAGTACTTGATCCAAGAAACCACAGTTGATGGCTCCTAGCATTTTATCTGCACTAGTGAAATCAATATGAATTTCATTATTGATATGCCAATGGGAAAACAAAACTAACAACTAAACAAACAGAAAACTGCCAGAAAACCACCAACAACAACAAAAAAACCCCCCAAAAAACCCCTACTGTTACCTAATTCCACAAGGTTTTGATCAATGGAAGACACCAAATTGATTTGCATGCCCTCAGAGTAAGAATGCTATCATAGCACAAAAGTCTCCAAGGCAATTTGAAGATGTGCTTGTTGTGTAGCAGGGCTAGAGCAAGCAGCACAGTTCTGCTGTGGTCAGCAGCAGCTCTGGAGTTTGGGAGAGATTATCAATTGCAGAAAGGATTCTCCTAGAGTTTCCATGTTGTTGACATTATCTCCTTATTTTTTCAGAATAAAAAAAGCCTTTTTACATTTTAATAAACTTGTCTGTGAAGTGCAATATTTTTCACAGAAAGCTCAGAAATCCAAACATACTGCCTACCAGGAGCTTGTTCTATCACCTTTAAAACATGCACAGTACATGGGGCACAACACACACTAAACCAAACAGATCCAAACACAGGGAACTGGAGCTGCATGTGTCATACCATGCGAACATATTTTAAGAATGTGTGACTTTTCAGGAAAAAAGCCGCCACAAAACCACTGTGATTTTTCAAATAAATAAAACACAAAAAATATACTGCAACATAAAGTACTACATACACAAGTTCTATAGAACTCCATTATTTTTGTATCTGGATTATCAGAAAGAATCCTAAAGAACTAATTTATAATACAAAGCCACAGCAGAATAAAGAAATAAGAAAAATACATTATTATCTACAGAATAAGTAAACGGCACAAACAGGAACAGACTAATAATCATATACTGCATTTTATTCACATCATAGAATGCTCTGTAACTACTGCAAGTAAGAGTAAACATAGGGAAACAAATTGTGCCCAAGATCACACAGCAACAGATTTGAGGTGGTAACACTGCAAATACCAGTTCTCTTGACTTCCAGACTCACATGTAATTAACTGGACTCAACACTTCTACAGTTAAGCACATCTAGCTCTAAGAAACTACCACACTGCTGCATTTCAAATGTTGTCTGTATTTCCAAATTGTATATTTACCTGTATTCCTGAATTGTATATTTATCCATTAAAAATGAGAAATGTCACTTAATTTTTTTTCTTATACTGAGTGTTGAATGTATTTTTACTTTAAAGCATACACTTATTTTGAAAGCACAAATATATTTTTTCAGAGGTTTAAAAAGCTCATTAATTCATCAGCATTATGAATAGTGTGCACTATTTCAAAAATTTACAATAACAACACAGGTTCTGAAGACAGGCAGCAGTGAGGAACTAATTGTAACTTAGCTGGGCTGTACTAAAACAAGAAAAAAAAGCTTCTCATTTTTTTTATTTCCATCCTTCCTCCTTTCTCCCTCGTTAATGCCTATTTCATTGGCACAGCTCCCAGTGAAAGGTGAGTGTGGATCAGCTAGACTCAAAACTTGGGATAAGGCACAGCAAGAGGGCAATGCAAGGGCATGGGAACGAGAGCAGTCTCCAGCTTGGGATCCTGTCAGGCAATACCAGAGTCACTCTATCACCCACTAAAACTGTATTTGCTGTGCAATGCTGAAGCGAAAACAACAGCAAGGGAGACCCCAGAGCTAGAGCTTTAACTGTAGTGTGCAACATAATTTCAGTTCTGGGCTGGACTTGGGGAAAGTTGACAAGGTGGAAAACAAAATGCAGCAATAACAGATGGTTTATAAAGGAGAAGCTGACAAATGTTAAGCCCTCTCAACCTATTGCACTTTTCTTGCAACATAACTTTGAAAGAAATAAAACTACTTTGCAAAGCTGCTTAAGAACTGAACACAAACTATAACTGACACTAATTCATTCACATCTCTTTTTTAGGCTTTACATGATTCAAAAACCTGTTTATACACATATCTATGCACTTCTGGTAAAGCCTAAAATTCTAGTAAGTGTATTTATTTAAATTTTAGTTGTTAACACATACATACAACCTCAAGGTTACTTCAGAAAGGAAGACATCCATCCACTCCCCAAATCTGAAGAAGCTAAAAGACCATTTGTGATAGTCATTTCATATGTTTTTATTACTTCTGAATAACTACAGAATTTCCAGTATTAATTCCAGTTCAGCCCCAAAACCACAAACCTAACAGCATACCATGTAAGACACAAGTTAGCTGACCATCACACTACAATTACTCTTGGAATTAAAATATGAGTATTGCATATAAAGTTTCTTTCATAACAGAGTATGGTGGTTTACAAATATCTGGGTACCACAGACCTCTGTGAGGGTTATGTACAATTTGGTTGCTGTACCATGAGATTTTGTTTCGATAAATGACTCTGATAATGCAATTATGAAATTTCCTTCTTATCATATACTCTAATCAAATCACTAACATACTTCTCCCTACTTGCACTCTAGAGGTTTTCTTCCAAGCGGAAAAAATGTACAAAACAAGTTTTGTTTCATGATTCCCCTTTGTATTGCCATATCCATAAGGCAAACAGGGGTCACATCCTATAAATACCATAATCCAACTGCCAAAAAATGCATACCCACATTCCTAAATAAATCTTTAAATGTCCTTCAGGCGGCCTACATTAATCATACTGTTGGATTCAGAGTGTTGACTGATCTAATGTCACACAAGTCGTACAAAATATCATCAAGCGTTTTAGAACACAAATCTTGGATCAAATCTTTTCCTTCTATACTGCCTCTCTGAAGCTTCTCATCCTGTTGTTTTTAATTGGTCCATCTCCCATTTATGCACCCTCCCCCTTATCAATGCCTATCAATCAGCAGTATCCATCTTCCAACTGCTCTCTTCTTTATGCCTCCATCCATTCCGTCATTGTCCACAGGATGTCCTCTCTAAACCAACATTCAAAGCTGTTGCACTGGTCTTTCCACCCTGTGAGTATTTTATTTTGAGAGCACAAAGTCTTTGAAGCAGAGGCAAGTAAGGACAACCCAAGTGTGCTAGCACAGTAATGTTCTGTTCTTTTCAGGGATTAGGATGTGAAGACAAGGTAAATATGAACATTCCTAATACACAACAATAAACCAGTAATTTAAAGAAATATTTTACTTCTTTATATATATATAAAACCTAGATATTTTTATTTTTCCTCAGCCACATGTGGTACCATGGTACTGTATTCAACTCACAGTGTATCTAATACAGAAAAATTAGGCACAGGCCTTGTATAATAGCCTTGTCTTCTGGTATACCTAGATCCTCAGATGACATATGAAGTGTTGTTGACGCCAAGCACTTAAGAGATTTGCAAGTATTATAATGGATCTCTAAACAGAAATTTGCAGATTCAATTAAAAGGGAAGAATATTTAAAGGTATCATTCTTCTATCTCAAATACACACTCTGTAAGCAGTTTAATAGGCTACAATAAGACACCATGTGCCATTTTTTAGTTCTATCTATTTTATGAAATACATAATTTCAGTACATAGCACACATGCTATTTCACACTGTAACTAACAAACTTACATTTAGTGTTGCAGACTAGCTCATTATTTTGGAAAAGGTATTATGTCATGTTTTCTCACAGGAAAGATTTTTGGTGCACTGCATAACACAGCATTTGAAAACAAACTTTACTTGCAGTTTAGCAAATGTTTTGTATTAAGAATTTTGTTTAGGTTTGCAAACAAACCAAGTAACTAAGCAGTCCATAATAAAATAATCTATAAAGAATTTAAATTGTTTAAACTGCTAAACTTCCACGGGTGCAGAGACTTAAGTAAAAGCAGATTCAAATCCTTCCTGTTTGTAATTTTTTAAGACAGAGGCAGGTACACGGCACCCCCCACCTTCAGATTCTCATTACTTCATCCATGCTTCATCACTGGATGAAATCTTTTTTCTCTTCTTCAATTAAGTGTAAAAACTAAAAATTTAGTGACTTTTTAAGACTCAAGATTTGCCTTTGCATTAGCACATTACATGCCACATGACAGCCATTTCCCTCAAAGACGCTGATGTATTTGAAAACTCTCTGTCATTTGGAAAGCATGAAAGAGAAGTATCAAATGTACTATGTCTCACATACCAGTAACGAATCTTTTATGACACAAGCCACTTCTTCCAGTGAAATCAACTGAATGGAAACCAGCTGGTCTAAAAGATATAATGTAGCTTTTTCCAGGCTTGGCAAGTGACGAAGCCAGAGGTTGAAGATAGCCGATTCAGGGAGGGAGATCTTCTTCCTGGTTTAGAGAGAAATATAATTGTTTTTTTTTTTTCCTGAGAAACTGTAAGGAAGACAAAAATACTCTGTTCAATATCAAATAATAATGACAAAGAATAACAGGGAATCACCATCATCTACAAATGAAACCTTACCACATGTCTTTAAAACCTAAAAATTTGGTAATGATGGATCCCTGTAAATGGAAACTGAAGGTTTAACTCTGGAGTTCCCTTTCATTCTAGAGAAAGGTCCAGCCCTAGGCTTGCGCTTCTTTCAAACCCAGACTGCTTCCTGCAGACCAGTCTGCTCAGAAACTGTCAGCAGCTGGCAGATAAGCAGGAAGGTTCTGGATAATTTTACTGCTGGCTAAATCAAAGTATTACCTGTTCTTGCAGAGAAATAAGAAAAAACACCCCAAAACGGAAGTAGAGGTAGGTAAGTCTTCAGCCCACCAACACTGACTGAAGCCTTTTAAAAGATAAACGATGCACAGAAAAATAAAGACGGCTCTCAAAATGTCAAGTTAGGAATGTTGATACTTACATGAAAGGCAAATAACATTTCTGTGAAAAGTGATCATATCTTTCAAAAAATTCCTAAAATACATTGAAGACTTTAACCTCCATTTTAGAGAAAAGGTGGGACAAAATTCCAGTATGTTATGCCACAATTTGTACATTAGCATTTTAAAATTCTGCTTTGGGCTACAACCTGAGCTCTGCTATTCAATTGCAAGAGAAGTATTTTACTAGAATGCAGAACATGTACCGTGCATTCAGCATACAAACCCAGAAAAAGACATTTAATTGCATTAATAATCTTTATGAAGAGCATAAAAATCATACAGACCACGCTACTTACCTTAAAAAGGCATCATTCACAGCCTCCAGGAACTCTGAGCTGAGAATTTCTTTTGATGCACCTCCATGGTAAAGAAGGAGAGTTTCCAGCAACGGAGTTAGATCAGGCAAAGTAACAAGAGGGAGACAGAAAAGGGACACAGCATTCACACGACTGGCTGAAACTCTGAGGGAAAAATAAACACCGTTCATATTTCAGAAAAGTCAAAACTTTAATTTCTAAACTGATAAAGTAATTAAATTTTAATTTAAATTCTAAACTGATAAAGTAAAAGAAAATTAAATTAATTACAGAAGGTTAAACCTAAGAGATGCATACCTAACTGCATAAAAATTACTTATTGGAATGACTGTTGACATGTTGTTACATTGTCTGAAGAATCTTAAGGAGAAGTCAGATAAAATTTTGGTATTTTAGAACTCAAGGCAAACCACATGAGGGATATCAATCCAATTCTGAAGTGCAGCCAGTTGTGTTTGCTCAGTAATCACACCCTTCCAGCAGGTAATGTTTTGTCTTTCCCAGGATCAGAGAAGCACAGGTAAGGAGCACTACAGATTCACAGCTCCCATGTAGTTTGCTAAACCCTCACAAGAGACCACCTAGCTGTTCTAAGACCTCCTGTTGATTCCTTAACCTCTCTCCAGTCAGCAAAGACAACTTGTGTGAACCAAATGATAAGAATTCTGCTGTCTTCAGCTGCTCAGTTGCAAAATTTTTATCTTGCAGACCTATAGTGGAAGGAATATGTAACACTTTTGGATCTTAATACATGAAACACTCACTTGACCTGCTCACTAAAACTACATGCTTGGAAATAATTAAAGACAGTTGAATCTGGAACAAAAACAAAACACAGAACCTTTGGAACAAAAACAAAAAAGGAATATGGCACACAATAAAAGATAACATTTGCAAAAGGAAACCACAAGTTTCCTAGAGTATATATAGTTTCTAGCACATGAAACTGCAGAATATACTTTGACAGCAAGATATTTATGAAGACCAAGAACTCTGAAATACTGAATTCTAGCAAATTAAAAAGTGCTAGGTTGTTTGTGAAAGGCTTCCTTGTGTTGCTGCAAGTTTCTCCTGATTCCATTGTCCACTAAAAGGGGTGCATTCTTTCCAAGAACCCAAACCCGTTTTCTTTGGGGAGCCACCAATACAGTCTGTGAAGAGCTAAGACAGGAATTTCATCACAGGCTTCTCTGAATAAGAGCTAACTCCATTGCTCTGCATTTATTTAAGCTACTCCCAAACAGATGTTGCCTAACGGTCACTGGCATATGCTGTGACAGAAGTGCTACGATTTGTGGACATGGGGTACCATTGTGATTTCCACAATGAGAGGAATAAAACATGACACATTTGCAAAGACTCAAATTTCTGAGTAAGTACCTAACCAAATATGTGTTTAAGGTTTCTTACACTGAAATACTTTGAAATGCAGTTTTACAATGAGAGGGGTTTCTGTAGGAATGGTAAGTATTGGGCTGACATTTATTGTGCAGTAGTATTTTTCAGGATACACATGTAAACTTCACAGACCGGAGACTCTTTACATCAGTCCCCTTTAGAAAATTCTGTTCCTAATTCCTTATCCAGGATTAGCAAACTTTAGCAGTTTACTTTGTTCTTACTTAACTTTGGAAGAAAACCTCTGCAAAGGCCATTTTCTTCTTCTTCTGTACAATCTTCAACACATGTTCTTCAAGAACACTGCACAGTACATTCCACTGTATGCAATGAATGTACACAGACATTGTCATCTGTGTTGCTGCAAGCATCACTGAATGGAGAAATGAGACAATGTACTTGTACAATGAGACTAACTGCAAACTACATTTGTCTCTGCAACTTGAATAAACAGCCATATCATAATTTCTACGCTTAAAAATCCACATAAGTTCAAAGTTTTCCTTGTCTCCTGGTACAAATCAGGTACTTCTCTTCCCAACAGTCTCATTAGCTTTTCAGCTGAGTCTGTTTCACCCTACTTTAGAAAATGCAGGTGTTTGTTTTCTATATTGAACGAAACTTTGTGATGCTCCCCATTAACTGTGTCCATGATTTCGGTACTAAAGTCAGCCCTAAATGAATTCAGCTCATTTACTCTTCCTTACACAAACACCTAGGTGCAAGAAGGAAGGTAGAAAAATAGCCAAGCTGTTGGCTCATGATATAAGGAAGAAATTTCAATCAGAGTCCTCTTTCCTGTAACTTCACAGGCTATGTAGTGTTAAACAGCTCAGAAAATTCACTTTATCATATCGGCCACTTGACTCTGAAGAACAATAAAATATGCCCAGGAGAGTCATACACTTAAAACAGAAGATACAATTTGAGTATATAGTCTATATTAAAAATATCTATCCTTATTTTTGCCTTTGTTTTTTAGCTGAGATACACTTAATTTACATACAATCAAAAGGATCTACTGACATATTCAAATATGATCATTTTTAAAACTATGATCTGCATTTCAAGGTCAGTGGAAAGGGAAAAACTGCATAATGAAAAGGCATGATCATGTAAAAAAACATGACAACAGTAGTATTAGGCAAATGTATTCCCTTCTTTATGGTCACAGATTTTGGCTTAATTCACTGTATTTATGTAGTGTGGATGAAGAAGGTGATTATTCTCACTGACTACACCTAGACATGTAGAAGCACTCCACACAATGTTGCAAGGTGGTTATCAGCATCTGGCAATCTGTACTGGAAATCTGGCCAGAGCACATAAAAATTTCTTTCCCACCCACTATCTCAGACTTTCATCACTAGAAAACCAGGCCAAAGAAGCAGTTAAAGGGTAGAAGTACTATGTTCTTGGGTACATTCAAAAGAGTTGTATATGAAACATGTAGTATTGCCACAGTACTGTTTGGTACCAGATCAAGGAACTAATGGAAGGATAATGAGAGGCTCTTTAAATAAGCATGGACAAATTTTACCATTAATAACAAGTGCAAAATCACTACTCTTCTGTCACATTAAACTGTCACTCACACTACCACAGGAAAAAAATTTGGAAAACATTTTTTGCTTTTTCTTACAATAACTGCCAATTAACTTTGGTTATAAGGATGCATATAGCAGCCAACATTCTGATTATAAGGTTCATGAGACTCAACAAGGCCAAGTGCAAGGTCCTGCACCTGGGTCAGGGCAATCAATACAGAAGGCTGGGGGATGAAGGGATTGAGAGCAGCCTTGTGGAGGACTTGAGAGTACTGGTGGATGAAAAGCTGGGCACGAGCTGGCAATGTGTGCTCACAGCCCAGAAAGCCAACCATATCCTGGGATGCATCAAAAGCAGCATGGCCAGCAGGTTGAGGGAGGTCATTCTGTCCCTCTACTCGGCTCTGGCGAGACCCCACCTGGAGTACTGCGTCCAGATCTGGAGTCCTCAGCTCAGGAAAGATATGGACCTGTTGGAGCAGGTACAGAAGAGGGCCACAAAAATGATCAGAGGGCTGGAACACCTCTGCTGTGAGGGCAGGCTGAGAGAGTTGGGGTTGTTCAGCCTGGAAAAGAGAAGGCTCTGGGGAGGTCTTCTTGCCACCTTTCAATATTTAAAGGGGCTTATAAGAAAAATGGGGACATACTTTTTACCAGGGCCTGTAGCGACAGAACAAGGGGTAACAGTTCTAAACTGCAAGAGGGTAGATTTAGGTAAGGTATAAGAAAGAAATTGTTCACTGTGAGGGTGGTCAGACACTGGAACAGGTTGCCCAGAGAAGTTGTGGTTGCGCCCTCCTCGGAAGTGTTTAAGGCCAGGCTGGATGAGGCTTTGAGCAGCCTGATCTAGTGGAAGGTGTCTCTGCCAATGGCAGGGAGGTTGGATTAGATGATAGTTCAAGGTCCCTTCCAACCCAAATTGTTCTATGACTTTTAGGTTAAGTATAAACTCTTATGTGAAGCATAATGTTTTGTCCACACCTGAAATTACCTACATATATATCCAAAACTTTCCAGCTGAAGCCTAAGTTGTTTAAAACTGTAAAAAGGCCCTCACAGAACTGTAATGATCCAAACTAAGACACATAAAAATGAAGTTTAGATAACACCTACCTCTCTTGAATGTTAAGTCCATTGAACTGATTTCCTCTGAGTTCTGTTACTAATGAAAATACCATCTGTTAAAATAAAACAAAATAAAATACATACACTGAAAATAAGCAGACATCAGTTGCATGGTTCTCTGTGTGAAATACTGTGGAGGTTAATAACTTTCTCTGTTCACTCAGTTTGATTTTTTAAATTTTTTAATTATTGGTGCCAAATTGAAGTTATCCAGATCATGGAATAAACTATACTGCAAAACAACTTTGAACACATTTGAAAACTAAGAAGCTACTTATTTTAGCTCTGCTTCCCCAAGAGTTGAGGCAAAACTTTCAGAAGAGCACTACTAGTAATTTTTATATGCTTTATCTAATTTAAGTCAACATATTATGAAATATTATTCCCATTACTTTTATATATTAAATGTAAAAGACACTTTTCCTAAGATTTAGGGCTTATCTACCATTTTAAATGCAGTGCATACAGTCAAAGAAAACATTTCAAAAATTACATTCTAATACACAAATTAATATATATAATTTAAACTTCACAGGGAAAAAATTAATGATAGGGCAGACATTTTTTTGTTATAACACAACAGAATCAGGAAATTTTTTTTCATGAACATCTATTACAGTATAATCTAATAAAAAAATTTTCTCATTTGTCCAGAGATCTCCCACTTCATTTTTTCCCTTAAAAGGCTGTAAAAGTAACTGAGGTAAGAAAAGATAAACAAGGTTCAGTTCATGTTCCTTATAACAATGACAGCTCCATGTATGTGCTTATAAACTGGTGATTTATTATTAACAAAATCTCAATTGCACAAAATACTTACATTTTTAACTAAGTGACAATAATAATCTGCTGACGTGTAGCCAAGAGTTGATATGAATGTACTGGTTTCAGCTTCATTACTTTCCCACTTAGAAGAAGAAAGGAGATGGCACAGCAAATTCTGTGAGAAATCAACAGAAGGGCAACAGAAAAAGGTATTAGACTACAACATGCTGTGTAAAAAGAACTGACTGCTATTGAACTTCAACTATATCTGGGGTAAGATCTTTTGATATGTTATGGCCATTTTACACCATTAACAGAGGAGCAGGCAGTTCACATCAGCCACAAGGAGAAGACTGCAGCTGCTACAATCCAACATGGGTTCACACAACACAAAATTTCAGTAGTTGTGCAATAGCAATGGAGGCCATCTGTGTCAAAATCAGACAGACCTTAGGTAGGTTTTAGTTCTCTGGGAGCCACTTCAGTCTGATATCATCTGGATAGCAGTAGCCATGTTGCTAGACAGCAAAAAACGTGATCAATACCGTGATCAAGAAGAGAAAGCATGGAGTTAACATGTACTTTTCCATATTACTTCTTCAACAGGCCCCAGTATTTTTTATGGGATTCAGGGTCTGGCCTCAGAATTTAATTTGCTTAATTTCCTCATTAGCCTGAAAAGATAGTGATAACATTTTAGTTTGACATTTACTTCTCTACCAATTTCGCTATGGAATGCTTTAAATTTCATTTAATAAAATCTTTTTAATACATCATGTAAAAATCCATACGATCCTTTGATGACAGATTCAGAGTAAAGTCAGATTAACACACTTGATACACCGGTTCTGCAGGCGCATACAGAGGACTCAAGGTAGTAGTCTGGTTGCTCAGTTCTTCAGCACTGTATTACAGCTCTGCTTTCTTTTGGATGGATCTTACACCCCAGCATCTTCTCAACAACTCATTTGTGAAAACTGTTGTGTGAAATCTTGAGCAGGTTTTTGCATCCTGCTGTCATAACTGAGCAGAGGTCATGTTGTGTTGCTTATCAAATGATCTGCTCCAACTTGGTTACAGTTTTCTTTTTTTCCTGTCCTCTGTTGCTACATGCTCATAAAACAACAGCTACATTCCCTTTCCAGAAGTTCATTTCAATTTCAGGGATTTATAGATTGATATGTAGAGTATAAACTAAAGTACACTTAGTATGGCAGTAAGTATAAAACCCCTTGTAAAAAAGGGTCAGGATTAGAAAACACTGAAAAAAACCTTCAGTCTAAAAATATGTAATTAAAAGGAAAGTTCAGATGAAAGCTCTGTGACTTCCATGGTCTTAGAGGGCTTCATCCTACGTTTTCTTTTCAAAGAAGGGATCTGATGAAATATTCAAGATTAAAAAAATAAAAATCAGCTCATTTTCTGCTTTCAGAAATCCAAACCAAATCTTTATGCACGCTTTTGTTGAACATCCCTAAGCAAATGCTTCAGAAGTCCTGGAATTAGATGTATTCCATGTTTGATTAATGTGCGATAGAAGATACAATCAGCAGAAGTACACCAGAGGTCTAAGAAAATTAATTACTACCAAAATAAGTAACAAGCATTTGGGACACCTTTTTTACTGTACTTTTGGTTAGGATTGTTTTACTGCCTTGCAGATTTATGTTAAATCCCTAAATATCCTTGTCTTTCATTGTAAACCTTTTCCTAAATAGCCCTCAACAGGATAAACTGCTGGTTTACCGCCATCTAGTGACTTCCCCAAAATTAAGGAGGAAGGAAAATGCTGTGGCAAAACAGAGTTTCAAAGAAGTAATTTACATGCAACTTTTGCAATCTTAAGAAAAAGGCATAAAAATGTGGATTTTCAAAATGTAGAAGCATCTAAATATGTCGAAAGAGAAGGCTAAAGTCTATTAAACTGCACAATCTTCAACCATCCCTTAATCAATTTATTAATATGGAACTATATATATTTTTATCGTCCTTTGCTACTAATATTAAAGTTAAAATTTGCTTTCAGAACACTAGCAAAGGTTCAGACAGGTAGTTCCTAGAAAACAGGACAGTTTGCCAAGTAGAATAAGGGATCAGACTGCAAGTCGAAAAGAAAACAGAGGAGTTAGCAACAACAAACCAGGGATGCCACTTTTGCTAGCGGTAAGGAGGGGGGCTTGAAAAGTACAAAGTTTGTTGGATTGCAAAAACCTTCACCAGTGAGAAGAACAAACATAAAAAGCTCTGAAAAGGTTTTGACACATTGACATGGCAGCTAATGACACAACTGAATGAGGGAGTAGTTTAAACCCCCATATATTCACCTGTAGCACTACAAAATGTATCATCTAGCAGCCCCCTCTGAAACCAGAATTTTCCTAAGGATAAAACTAATGAAACACTTTTTATGTGAAGGGTAATTTCAAAATCACCTTCCCTCTACCCTTGTATAACAGTCATTGTTAACCAATCAAGAGGTGAAAAGACAAGCCAAAACTATTATGCATCATCAGAATCTGCACACTTTCCTGGGGTTTTTTTGTTCTTGTTCATTTGGTTAGTTGGGTTTTTTCGTTTATTTGGTTAGTTGTTTTTTTGTTTATTTTTCCTTTTCTGAGCTCTATACTACATCCATAACACTTCAGTTATTTTTTTGGAACACACAAAACCTCTGAACAGCTAGAAAGAGGCGAGGGAAACAGGGATAAGGAGATACTGTAGTCAAGATGAAAGGAGGTAACAGGTATATATAAAAGAAAAGTATGTATTAAAGGTGAAAAATATTTAGAATTCAGCTCTATGTCTTATATATTTCATTTTACAGATGTGATTGCCAGTGCAAAGCCTGAGACATGCAAGAAAGGCAAGAAATTTGGTAACAATTATTTAAAGCATTTCTCTTATAAGGTTTAAATGCTTCCTCTAGTCCAAAACATGTCCAGGAAGCTCTCATTCTCTCTAGAAAATGCAGTACATTTTCTGCACATAATTCTGGTTGTGATTTTTTTTTTACTATTTATGTGAAAGAAAAATAAATATTGACAATTGGACTGTTAGATGGATAAGGAATTCTTAGACGGCTGTGTCCAAAGAGTCCAGTCAATAACTCAATTTCTAAGTGGAAACCAGTAAAAAGTTGTATCCCTCAACAGTCCGTACTGGGACCAATACTATTTAATATTGTGGTGCATTGGCTTCACCCTTTTAGTTTGCAGCCAAAACCAGCCTGCTCTATCACCCTCCCCCGCCTCCAGGGAGCAGGGGAGAGGATTGGAAGGAAAAGGGCAAGGAGACCCACAGGTTGAGATAAAAACTATTTACTAATTAAAATAAAATGATAATGATAACAACAGTGATAACAGAATATACAAATGAGTGATGCACAGTGCAATTGCTCACCCCCCGCTGACCAATGCCCGGCCTGTCCCAGCCAGTGATCCCAGAGCAGAGACAGTCCCAAAACTGAAACCCCAGAAGAGCAAGAGCCCAAGTGATCCCTGAGAGAATCCCCCCGTCTTCTGCTCAGCCCTGGTTAATACACTGACATGACGGGATGTGATATGGAATATCTCATTGGCACATCCAAATGCCAGTTGGGGGTTTGCTATTCACTGCGCTTCTCCCTCCCAGTCCTAATGCAGCTGTGAACCAGCCAAACACGGTGGCCTTGAGCTCCAGCAGCAACTAAAAACACCAGCACTTTATCAACATTCTTCTCATAACTAATCCTACACTGAATCTAAAACACAGCTATTCTAGCTACTGAGAAGAAAATTAACTCTATCCCAGAAAAACCAGGACAAATATCTTCATCAATGATACGTGGTTGAGTGTGACAGTGGGACTGAGTGCACCCCCATTGAGTTTGCAGGTGACCAAGCTGTGTGGTGCAGCTGATTCACTTGAGGGAATGGACGCCATCCAGAGGGACCTTCACAGGCTTCAGGAGTGGGCCTGTGCAAAGCTTATGAAGTTCAACAAGGCCAAGTGCAAGGTCCTGCATCTGGGTCATGGCAATCTCCACTATCAGTGCAGACTCAGGGATGAATGGATTGAGAGCAGTCCAGCAGAGAAGGACTTGGGGATATTGGTGGATGAAAAATTGCACACTCAGAGCCCAGAATGCCAGAGACACTGCAGCAGGCTGTCCAGAGAAGTTGTGCATGCCCTGACTTTGGAGTGTTCAAGGTCAGGTTGGATAGGGCTTTAAGCAACTTGATCTAGTGAAAGATGACCCTGCCCATGGTAGGAGGGTAGGACTAGACAATAGTTGAAGGCCTCTTTCAACTCAAACCACTCCATGATTCTATGATTTGTGTAAGGTGAACTGTTTCTTGAAAACAAGATGCTTTCAGCTGTTCTACTGTATAATCCTCTTCTAACAGTACCCTTTGGTGTCAGTACAGAAATGATGTGGAAGGGGTAGTATAATGGCCAGAAATAAAGCTTATACCTAATAATCTCCAACTAATGACAACTATTTTTTCATACAATTTTTCCAGCCACTTAGCAGGTAAGCTGGATAAGACAAACTCAGCTGTAGTGAGAAACCCAATTTTCCAGTTAGAACATGGAAAGATAAAACAAACAAGCCATTCCAAGAGATAATCTCTAAAGAGACAAACTGAGGGAGAAAAAAAAAAGATCATCAGGTAATTATTATACTCTTTCACCCTATACACCATTAACTTGTTTATCAAAAGTACAGTGTAAGCCAGGAATGGCTAATTTTGAACTGGCAGTGAAAACTCTTGTTTTTACATCAAGCTTTGAAGTTCACAATGTTTAAATTCCAGTAATTCTCAGATCTAAAGGGACTGTATCAGTAGGTATTTCACATCATACTGCAGAACTTGGTTAGAACCAGTTGCAAGACTGAGTGTAAAGTAATGTTTTCTTATATATGTTTCTCCTTTCACTTTTCAAATCAACTTTTTCAGAAAATCTGTAGAGAAATCTAGAAGATTTCAGGAGATTTTCTCACAGAGGTTATTATAGAATGATACAGAAATATTCAAAACTAGTAATAGGTTCCATTATTGCATTATGAATGTCCCACAAAATGTTGCAGAAAATAAAAACCAGTAACATTTTCTGTAGCCATAGTGTGGATTCCTGGGGTCAGAGAGACCAGTTATTTGAGACTAATGACTTTTAAGGAATCATTTCAAACCC